AAATCCTGCATTTGGAGGCCAAAAATCAATTACACCAAGTACAGTGGTAGATTTGTGGATAGAAACATTTCAAAGTGAAAAACGCCTGCAGCTTATCGTGGACTGCAACTTCAATATGAATAAACAGCGTTACCTGACAACCAAAATTCTAACGGAGTCCTCTGCTGCATTAATAGAGGCTTTGTGTTCAGAATGAGGGAGCCTATACTCCTGCCATACTCTACCCTGGTCCCATCACATCTGGAATTAGGCTTTCAACTCTCAGTACCACATTTTAGGGAGAATGTTAGTAAGTTGGAACATTTCCAAAAGGTGTCATCCAAGATTATTGTGAGGTAACTTGAAGCCACATCATACTATGATTAGCTGAAGGAACTGAGAATGTTTGGTCTGGAGAAGTGAATACTTGGCAGGGAGGGAAGAGGACATAATAGCCATCTTCCAGTGAGGGGCTTTCATATAGGACAGATTAGACTTGTTTTATTTGGCCTTAGAAAGCAGAATTAGGAGCAGCAGGTGGAAATCACATAAAGGCAAGTTTCAGCTCAATGTAAGGAAAATTTTCTAATATTTAGAGCTGTCCAAAAGTGGAATGGGCTGCCTCCATAGATAGTGAAATTCCCTTTACTGACAGTATTTAAGTGTAGGCTGGATGACCTTTTATAAGGGATGCAGTAAATGAGGTTCCAGCTCAGATAGGGATTGGGCCTCTTCCGGTTCTTGGATGCTATCAGTGACTAATGAAATGACTGGCTAAGCAGTGTTGCATGGTGACCATAACTGATTGGTTAGGTTAAGAAGGAAAGTTCAGAGTAATATCCCAGTCCCAGTTAAAAATGCATAGTATCAAATCTTTTATTTCTAGAAATGGAATTCTAAATAGGTCACTCTGAGGAAGAGTGGCCCAAGGGGTAATCTGGCAGCCATAGAAAACCTCCAGATTACTTCTGTAGAGCAGCAGTGCTAATCAACTGGGCAGGGTTCTGCAATTCTTCATCCTCCCCTCAGAGCTTAGAGACACTTGGGTAGATGTCTGATTTCAGGATATGTCCTCTTCTGGGGAGTTGGGTGCACTTTCTTCCCAGATAAGGTATTAATTTCCCTTTAATGTTCCATGGCATCTAACTAGATAGCTGGAGGGGCCAGGTAGGGGTAGGAGGGGGAGTGGCATTCTACTCCGACCTGCAAGGAGTGTGCTAACCCTCCTAGGTAGGAAAAGCCTTTGTGTCTGAGGGAGAGAGTCCAGCCTTCTCATACTACTGTAGTCACAGAATAGAGGGAACAGGATGGTGCATTTCAATGTGACAGGCACAGCTGTCACAGAATATCTTGAGGAAGACCAGATACCCACCCACCCACCCCACCCCCAGTCCCAACTGCCTTGTTGGTATTTGATCACAGGCATGTCCCTTCGGCTCCTTGCTTATTAAACCTCGCCTGCCCTTTTGAAATGAGGTTTCAGTTCTAAAGCCAGGTCATTGTGAAAAGAATCAAACCAGCAACTTAGGGACCTTCATTGTACAGAACTTCATTTCCCCATCCATTGCCTTGGGAATATTCCAAATCTTACTTGTTCCAGAGTTAAACGAGTGATTTTTGCCCTTGGAGAGGTAATAGTTTAAAGTGGATGGTATTTATATGTTTGTCACATGAAATAAAGATTGTAATGTTTATGTGCACACGTCATACACACATTTTTGACACACCTCCGTATAGACACAAAAGGGAGAGATTTCTATTAGACTTAATAATAGCCACATGACAGTGCTCACCAGTTTAAGGAGCCAGCTGATACTCTTAATGTCTGCTTTCCTGGTTTCGACCTCTATAATTTTAATTGGAGCTGCCCATCTTCTCTCCCTCATTTTTTCCCCCATCTATAAAATGAGGGAGTTGGACTAGATAATCTCTAAGGTCCCACCCATATAGTCCTATAATCCTCCTCCTACAGCATTTTGGGAAAAATATCTGACCAAAAAGCCCATTTCCTGAAAAATCTCCCATTCAGCTTCTTGAGAGTGCCTCTATTGCAGTGGGAATGAAAACACCTTTCTCTCTGTGTGCTTCAGCTTCATCTCTGGCCTCTGACTTTTCCCTCCCCTTCCAGCTCAGGAGCACCATGTGTTTCGATGCAGCCTCTTAGTGTTGCTGCCTATTGTCCAGGAGTTCCCTGCCCTTAGCAGACAATGGGGGACCTTTCTGTGGTCTAGCACTTGTGCTCTACATGGCTGTCACACTCACTCAGTGACTGTTGGAGCTGCCACCTGCCTTGTGTGCTTAATACCACTCAGGGAACGAACAAATCTTTGGGACCCAGGTTTATTGTGTGAGAGGAATGAAAGAGCAGTGAAGGGAGCTGAGATTTGCTTCCCATGGCACACATCTGGTGAGAGAGAATCCTGGCAGAAGGAGGGCTCTCTGCTGGGGGCAGCAGGGGCCCCTGTGTTGTGGGCTTTGGAGCTCTGTGCTCAGTGGAGGGAAGATGGGGGATGGGGAGGTAGGGTTGGTGGGAAGGATGTAGCAAATCAGAGGGTGCCTGAAGCAGGGTCTGGGTTAAAGAGAGGGATGGTAGAGGGAGAAATCCTTTCCTGAATTGAGGCAGCGCAGCTTCCTAGCCTTTGTGTTTCTGCTATTCTCTCCTAAATAGCTGGGACCTTCAAGTCAAATTCCCATGGGATGACATTCTGTGTGTCCTGAAACCAAGGTGAGCGTTATAGGGAATGTGATGTAGGAATTGTCTTGGGCTCTTCCTCTTGGGCACCTAGTTATTGAGAAATATCAGAACCAGTCACTTCCAGTATGAGAACTAAAAGCGGCACAACTCAGTGCTTGGCAGGGTTGAGGAGAAAATGGTGACCACATACCTATAATTGGAATTGCAAATTGTTACAATTCTTTTTGGAATGCAGTCTGGCAACACAGTCACCAAAATAATCATATCCTTTGATCCAACAATCCTATTATTGGGTATGTACCTTCTGAGTGTTACAAAGTGGAAAAAAAAAGATTCAAACACACACATAGAACAATATTATTTGTAATTGCAGAGAACTGGAACAACCTAAGTGTCCAACAGTGAATGGCTAAATAACGGTAGTAGATTAATGTAATGGAAGACTACAATTCCATTTAAAATGAATATTAAAAATATAAAGAAAAACTGGAATGAAGTGGTATAAACTGATGTGAAGAGAAGTAGAACCATAAGGAACTATACACATTTACTTTAGAGAGGTAGCATGGTACATAGAAGAAAGGATACTTCACTGGCCTTGGAGTCAGTAGACCTGGTTTTGAGTCCTGGTTCTTCTGCTTACTAGCTGGCAAGTCACTTAACTTTTGGGCAGGTTTTTTTTTTAATCATTAAAATGGAAATAATAATACTTAAACTACTGACTTTACAGAGTTGTCATGAGGAAAGTGCTTTGGAAGCCCTAAAGTACTGTATAAATGTAAGCTGCTTTTATAAAAGGAATAATAGATGCCTAAATGCAAAGATCAATAGGAGACACAGAAGAGTAGCTAATATGTAGTCATGCAATACTTTATGTAGAAATTCATTTTTTAAAGTGTGAATACCTGTAAAAGTTTGCTTAATCAGTTTTCTTTTTGAAGTTATGTGTATAATTATTTTTAAAAGAAAGCTTCCAATTGCTGTCCTCAAGGTAAACTGGATTTCCAATGGACTAGTGATGAGGTCAAATGGTTAATGATTATTGTGTGGGAGGTGGCAGGGCCAAGGTCAGTTCCATGCCTGTGCCTGCTACCTTATATCTATGAGGTCCAAATGACTTGGTGTCTTTGGTAGAACAAAAGGAATACTCACTGCATGTGAACTCCCTTGTCCTGGGTTCAGGTCTCAGCTCTGCTGCTAGTATGACCTTGGGCAAGTGATTTTACCTGTCTGGGCCCTTGTTTTCCTCAACTTTCAGTTGAGTATGTTAGGCTAGATGATCTCTAATGACCCTTCTAGTACTAAATTCTATGCGTCTGTGAAATTCCCAGTTGTTCTCATTGGACGCAGCTCTTGTGAATGCCCTTTAGAGTTTCCATTATCCATTGCTGAATTCTAGACATGTTATTTTGCAGTAACTACTAAACAGCTGCTTAGCTTCCCAAAAGGAATTCTGTGAAGAGACTCTATGAGCAGCAATTATAGAAGTGTCGAACATCACATTTATATCACTTGAACTCTTAAGTGTCTCTTTTCTGAGCATCCAATACAACGTGAGATATTTTGTTATACTTTTGAAACTAGTTAGAGGTATCTTTTCTCCCTCTCTTAATAAGCTACCCAGGGAATAAATCGTAGGCAGAGTGCCAGTATAACTGTACATTGCAGATTAAAACAAAACCAAAAGATAACTTAATGCAAAGATTCTCTATCTCGGTCCAATTTGAGGAGCTGATGTTATGCTGGGAGTATTGCATTTCCTTTACTAGGTTTCTTCTGGAGAAGTTGATACTTTTATCACTACAGTGATTGGATTCTTTGTAGGTGTCTAGTGTTCTGGAGCAAGACAGTTTTAGGAGGGGGCTCTCAGGGCTGTGCTGAATAGAACATGGAGAGTTTTGTCTCGAGTTGGGTTTACAGTTAAAATACTGAGTTTCCATCATGTCCCCTCTTCCCTCCTACACCTTCCGTTTGGATTGGTTAGATACATACAGCTAGACTTGATTAGTGAATGCTAGGCAGACTATGCTAGGATGATCCAAGTACGATTATATTGGTCCCTCCCAAACCTATGTTCTCCCCCAAAGAATTGGATTGACTTTCTGTTGGATATTTTTTTTTTAAGTCACATGCTGATTACTATGTAGACTGCCTAGGCAACTGGGTAAATAATGAGCTTTAGTTAGACCTGATCATTTCTCTTTATACTGGAATTTCCCAACTTCTCTACAATCCTGCCCTGACTGCTTGGTCCCCAGTAGATGTCTTCCCTTTTCCTCCCTCCGTCCTCATCCCCTGAGGAACCTTGTTTGTGTCTGTCATGCAGATTCTCCCAACTTCTGACGAGTCAGTGCAGACTTGCTGCCTGTTGTGCCATCAGGAGCGCAAGGACTGGGGAGGCCCTTCCCACAATGGGCTGGTCTCCTCTGGGGAGAGACCCCCGCCTGACTTTGTGCCAACAATCGTGCAGAACCTGCTGGGAGAGATGCCTCTATGGATCTGCCAGAGCTGCCGAAAGAGTGTGGAGGATGAGGAAAGGAAAGCCCTTCAAGAACAGTCCCTGGCGGTAGGTACACTGTGTCCTACAACTACAGAGAAGGTGCCCATAAACCAGATTTTGTCCCAGTCTCAGAATGTGTGGGGAAAGATGTTGGAGATGCCTCAGAAAAGATCCTGTAGTTTCTGTTCTGAGGGGATATATGTCTCCTTATATATCCCCTCAGGTGACTTCTGTTGGATGACTCCACAGACCCATGCCCCGAGAGGCTGGAGTCACTGTTTTGAGGTGGCAGCAAAACTCTGGAATCAGGTTTTGGAAAGAGGAGAGAGGACTAGGTGGCCTGTTACTCCCTTGGAACAGTCTGTGAGAGCAGCCTGAAGGGCACAGCTGCATGGACTGGATGGTAGCAACCCTGGCCCAATAGCTGCTACTTCACAGAATATTAGAGCTGGAAGGGGCCTTACAGGTCATCTAGACCAACCTCCTCATTTTACAGAGGAGGATACTGAGTCTTGTAGAGGTATGACTTGTGACTTGTCCAAGTGACTTGTCCAAGGTCACACAAGTAGTAAGTGGCAAAGTTGGGAATCAAAACCAGGTCTTCAAGTCCAGTGCTCTTTCCACTGTACCATGCTTCCTCCCTATTTTTTCTGCTCAGTTCTGTAGCATCATGAAAGGCAACCAGTACTGTGTGGAGGCCTGGGGATGAGTTTTGAAGGCTTGGAATTATCCACATTAACAAGTTTCAAAGGACCAGCCCCATAAAAATACATAAAACAAAATCAAGCATGTGCCATTGCAGGGCCTTTTTGTTATAAAGCTTGATGATCTGGCTCTTGCCATAGTGATACTCAAATCTGGTTTACCTCTCCCTTCCCTCCCTCCACATTTTCTACCATTACCAGGCATTGTTTAGTTATAGAGTGAGTGCCTGATCTGCCTGTCAGTCCTTTTGGCCAGCCCATCAGTCCTGACTGTTACCTCAAGGGCATTTGTCTTTCTGGGGGTGGGTTGTTTTCTAAGTGGTCTCTGTTTCCTTTTCACCAAGATTCTGGCACTCCTTTGACTCCAAGCTCAGCTTTCTGTCTGCTTCTCCGACCCAGCTTTATTTCTGCAGCAGGGCAGTGGGATGTTGATTTTTCTTTGTTTCTTAGGATCATGGTAGATGTTGCTTGGGCCGTGGCAGAAGGTTCCTGCAGGAGGGCCTCTTTTCCTGAGAGACTGAAAGCAGAGGGACCTATTGCAGGAAGTAAGGTGCTCTGTGTTGATCGTTTTTTTCCCCTTCCTCCAGGTCTCATTATCACACACGTCCTGCAAGTCACAGTCTTGTGGGGGTGGCTCCCACTCCTCTTCCTCTTCTTCTTCCTCGTCATCATCGTCCTCCTCCTCATGCCATGGGAACTCAGGGGACTGGGATCCCAGCTCGTTCCTGTCTGCACACAAACTCTCAGGCCTCTGGAACTCCCAGCAGGCTGGCGGTACCATGCAGGGCCCCTCGATTGGTGGCCCTCCTGCTGCACCTGGTGAGTCTCAAGCTCACCAGAGCCCTCTCCCTCTAATTGGACAGCCAGGCCCTTTGCCCTCTCCTGAAGGAATAATTGATAGACAAGCCATGAAGTTTCTAGGTCCTGGCTAGCTATAGTGAAAGGGGGACTCATCTACCTTATATCAAATGTACCTTATATCAAATCACTGTCAACAGCTGCACATTACATAGGCTAATGGGATTATTAAAAGTAATGTCCAAATGGGAGAAGGGATTGGTGCGAGAGATATATCCACCAGGAAACCAAGAGGGCAATCCCTGGAGATCTAACACCAGTATCGCCACACACTGCCTTGTTGAGCTAGACAAAGGCTATGCTTTCCTTAATTTCGTTTTTCCCTACCTACAAAATGGGCATAGCAGCATTCTCTTCCATCCCAAAAGAGATCAATAGATCACATGGGCATCTTAGGGCTGGTCCTATTGTTAAGGGATTTGGGGATTGGAAAATTCTTTTTAGACTCTGAGACAATACCATAAGGCCTAGAGAAAGCACACCTTGGATCTGAACCTAGAAGCTGAGCTCAGCAAAAGTAGTGTTGTGCTGAGAGTCCTTGGTAGCCAGGCTATACTTTGCTCATATTTATTTTTGTGCGGAAGCCCACTAAGTACTCTGGGCTTTTCCTGCCTCTCAGAGAGCTGGAGGTGGCCTGCTTTGAGCTGGGAGAGTCAACCTATGAGGTGCCTGAGAAAGCCCCTTAAACTGCAGAGGAGAAATCCTCCTTTCCTTCTGCCTTTATTTCAGGTAACAAATATGCCAGTCCCACCCCACCCCCAACTCCCCGTCTCCAGATTACATCACCCCACTTTGGGGGCCCCTGGCTAGAACACCTGCCCCTACAATCAGGTGCTCTCCTCTCTGGTGGTTTCCAGTGGGGTCCTGCCAGGCTCTTCTCTGCCTGCCTCACTCAAGTTCTGTAAAACACTTCCCAAGCAGTTCAAACCATGTTCGGAACACCCACTCCACCAGATCTGTACCTGCTGCCAGATGTATCAGAGGAGCAGGGCCCAGGGTGCCTAGCAATAACTGCCCTGATGGAAGTGGAAATATTTCTGTTTTCTTGCCTCTTGCTGCTACCTCTGGGCTGGACTTTGGTCCCTTTGGCTTGGGGATTGAGGCTTGCTCCTCACTATACCCCCTCTTCCTTGTTTGTGGTTCTTTTTTTTTTTTTTTTTTTTTTTTTTGAGCCTTTCCAGTTAGGAGATGGTGGAATTGGAACCTCTTTTCTCCACTTTGGAACTTTGAATCATACGAGCTTCTCTTGGAGCCCTAGGCATAGTCTAATCCCTGCTATTTTATTGGTTCCTGATGCAAGGGAAGATGATATCTTTGCTCCTCTCCTTCTAGTCAAACAAGAAGGGATGGTGGTAGTATTGACCTCTGAGGTCCCCTGGTCTGGGAGGAGCTCCTCTGGCGCATTCAGCCATCTTTCCAAGAATGAGGCACATTCCAGACTTCCTGTAGCCAACTCAGATGCTGAATGTCATTTCACAGCAAAGCAACCATCACCCTCTCCTGGCATTCTTCTTGTTTGTTGAATTGTCTTGGGACCACAGTGCTTGGAAGTCAGTCCCTCTTACAACATCTTCTTGGTGGAGGGATCCCACCGAATTTCTTATTTCTGATTCCCTGCCCACTGGGTAGCAGTACAACCTTTCTGATCTACTGTTCAAAGAGACACATCCCAGGACTTGTAAAACCTTGTAGAGGACTAGTTCTCTGCCCTTTCTTGAGACCATTTCTGTCCTGAAGCTTAATCACCCCCAAGAAGATGATGCTCCCAGCTCCTGCAATGAGAATTCCTGGATGAAGCCTTGGAAGCTTTAAGAGATCATAGACTGGTGTTTCTTCTGTTTAGGACTTTAAAAAAAAATGAAATTCATAGCACATTCAGATATTAGCACCCTTCAGAATGGAATTGACCAAGGATATTTTTGGAGCCTACTGGTATGAATAGGGCATTCTAGGTTCTTTCTCCTTTAATCACAGAGCCGCTTGGCTTGCTCTTGGGCAGAGAATCATTATAAAGATTCATGCCCAGCTCAGAGTCTAGTCTTTTTTTCTCTCCAAGTTTGGGAGAATGTGGAAGGGCTTTGACTATATCCAAGATTTAGCCTCCTTCCATAAACTTGGCATTGATCCTGTACATGCCTACCTAGGGATACAGTTTATCCTACAAAAGTGAAAATGATAATTTATGCATTCTTTTCCTTTCCTCCCTTTCTGGAGGTGACTGGCTTCCCTTCTCCTGACCTGCCTTGATACTTCTTCACTCCTATCTGCCTGCAGGTGAGGCCTTCCACTCCTCTGAACATCACCGGCACTCAGACCTCACCGCCCCCCCCAACAGTCCCACTGGCCATCCCCAACCACCAGCATCACTGATCCCTGCTCACCCAGGACCCTTTGGATCTCCACCCCATGCCCACCTAACCCCTACTGCCCAGGTAGCATCTTTCCCCACACCTGTTCCCAACAATCATGCTCCAGTGCCCAAGACACCTTCTGAGTCACCTGCTGCTGCTGCTGCCATTGCTGCCCCACATAGCCCAGCACCATGTAAGAGCCCTCATCTGTCCTCTGCCAACATGCCGCTTCTGAAGATGCCTCCTCCACTTTCAGGGTGTAATCACCCCTGCAACGGGCACTGCACTGGGTCTCTGGTCCCTCAAGCTGCCTCACATCAACTTCCCAGCACTAACAGGTCAGTATGTAGAAGCATTGGTGGACTTGCACTAGATGGAGCTGTGAAGGTCAAGGAATGTGGAAACAACCCAGAGAATGTTTGGGGGGAAATTGAGGGGTGGTATTCTTTGCAGGAAGCAAGAACTAGAAAATCAGAGGCTACTAGTATAAATTCTGAGATATAGTCAAGATCCTCAGAACTTTCCTTTCCCCATCCTGGCTGTTAGCAGTATCCCATTCTTTCTCCCTTTCATGGCAGGGATTAGAGTTCAAATTGGTAATTTTTGATACACAGAGGGCTGTTTATTGGGATCCTATTTTCAGCTTGCTGATCTGTTACCTAAACTTCAGCCTTTGACCCTGGCCTCTGTGTGAAATAATAGTTGTAAATTACTGTAAAGCACGGTGCTTCGTACATGGTAAGTGCTGTATCAGTCAGTGTTAGCTATTACTTGAGAAGAGGGTACCAAAACTAACTTTCTTTCCCTCTTCTTCCTAGCCTGAGTCCTCTGTGGCCCTTTCTGGTTAGTTTTGTCTATCCTGAGACATCCTAAATATGTCACTAGTGCCTAGGAAAATCCAGAGAAGCTGCTTTAGTTCTGTGACTCGCTTGGGCTGGGGGGTGGGCTCTTCTAAGATCTGATAACCAAATAGCAGTATAGACCCCCAGACTTAAGGTAGCAGGGGTATTAGGCAGTGAAATATGACTTAATGGGTTGTTCTTGGCTATGGCGCGGAAGTGCCTCTCTTTGCCTTGCCATAGCTTCTGCTAACACATCTTCACTTCTTGTTTTGCTGTCCGCAGAGACCCTGGATGCAAGGGGCACAAGTTTACAAATGGTACTGGCTGCCACCCGCCACAGTCGTGTGACACAGACGAGGGGCTGGGAGAGGATGAGGACAGCAGCTCAGAGCGAAGCTCCTGCACCTCATCCTCCACCACTCAGAAAGATGGGAAATTCTGTGACTGCTGCTACTGCGAGTTCTTTGGACACAACGCGGTGAGTGAATCCTTGGAGACCAACAGGAGACAGGGAGAGGGAGCACTTTAGTTAGCTGGGTCCTCTGCGTGGCTCTCTTCCCCCTGAGCTGTGCTACTCTGTGAAAGCTCTGGATTGTCCCAGCCAGACTCAGGGCCTAGGCTGAGTTCAGTGGAGTCTGCTGAGGGGAGAAGCTGATCTCTGAGCAGAGGCAGGATTGGTGCCACTTGGCCCTTGCTTCTAGTTTTGGAAAGAAGAATGTTCTTATGTCTCACTACACAGCCTGCATTGGGGGCTGGAAAGGTGTGGGCTTCCCAAGCTCGGAGTCTAACATCAGGACGCCCCTCTTCCAGCCCCCCGCTGCCCCGACAAGTCGCAACTACGCTGAAATCCGAGAGAAGCTGCGCTCACGGCTGACGAAGAGGAAAGAGGAGCTGCCCCAGAAGATGGGCCTGGCAGGAAGTGGCCCAGGTGAACCAGCTGTGGACCATCGGGATGTGGACGAACTGCTGGACTACATCAACAGTACTGAACCCAAACCCCTCAATAGTGCCAAGGCAGCCAAGCGAGCCCGTCACAAACTGAAGAAGAAGGTAGGTCTGAAAGGATTAGCTTCTGCCACCTCCTCACTTTTGAGAAGTATTCAGGTACTTTTTTATGGATTGCCTCAGCCTGGGGTGGGCTCAACTTATTTCAGTTCTGTTTCTAAAACATTTATTAAATGCTTCCTTGTGCAAGGCCATGTAATAAGTATTGGAGACAGGAAGTTAGATAGGACACAGACCCTCCTCTCAAGGAGCTGAGCCATAAGGATGGGGGTAGGATGGGGGGAATTCAATTAATTAATTAAACAAATAATTATGACATAAGAGAGAGGTAGATAAGTGCAAAAGGAGAGGTCCCTATAAAGTTCTAGGATAAATTTGAGGAGAGAGGTCACCTTCATATTAAACATATTTTCACATTAGTCATGATATAGTGAAGAATTAAAACCAATGGGAGGCACCAAGAGAAAGAAGTAACAAAACAACAGAAGAAAGGGAGAGCAAATAGTATGCTTCCATCTGCATTCAGAATTCTAAGTTCTTTCTCTAGATGATAGCATTTTCCATCATGAGTCTTTTAGAGTTATCTTAGACCCTTGCATTGCTCAGAAGAGCTAAGTCTATCAAAATCAGTTGTCACAGTGTGGCTGTTACTGTGTACAATGTTTGCCTGGTTCTGCTCGTTTCACTCAGCATCAGTTCATATAAATCTTTCCAGGTTTTTCTGAAGTTCACTTGCTCATCATTTCTTATAGCAAAATAGTATTCCATTGCATTCATATACCACAATTTGTTCAGCTATTCCCCAATTGATGGGCATTCCCTCAGTTTCCAATTCTTTGCCACCACACCACCACAGAAAGAGCTGCTATAAATATTTTTGTACATGTGGGTCCTTTTCGCGTTTTGATGATCTCTTTGGGATACAGCCCTAGAAGTACTATTGCTGGGTCAAAGGGTATGCACAGTTCTGTAGCCCTTTGGGCATAGTTCTGAATTGCACTTCAGAATGGTTGGATCAGTTGACAACTCCATCAACAATGCATTAGTGTTACAGTTTTCCCACATCTTCTCCAACATTTATCATTTACTTGTTTTGTCATGTTAGCCATTCTAATAAGTGTGATGTGATACCTCAGAGTTGTTTTGATTTGTATTTCTCTAATCAATAATAATTTAGAGCATTTTTTCATATGACTATAGATAGCTTTAATTTCTTCCTGTGAAAACTGCCTATTCATATCCTTTAACCATTTATCAAATGAGTGGTGACTTGTATTCTTATAAATTTGACTCAGTTCTCTGTATTTTAGAAACGAGGCCTTTATCAAAGATACTGGCTGTAAAAATTGTTTCCCAGCTTTCTGCTTCTCTTCTAATCTTGATTGCATTGGCTTTGTTTGTGCAAAAAATTTTCAATTTTATGTAATCAAAATCATCCATTTTGCGTTTCATAATATTCTCTGTCTCTTGTTTGGTCATCAGTTCTTCCTTTCTCCATAGATCTAACAGCTGAACTATTTCTTGCTCTCCTAGTTTGCTCATAGTGTCAGCCTTTGTGTCTAAATCATGTACCCATTTTGACTTTATCTTGGTATAGGGTGTAAGATGTTGGTCTGTGCCTACTTTCTGCCACACTATTTTCCAGTTTTCCCAGCAGTTTTTGTTAAATAGTAAGTTCTTATCCCAGAAGCTGGAGTCTTTGGATTTATCAAATAGTAGATTGCTATAGTCATTGACTATTGTGTCTTGCTTACCTAACCTATTCCACTGATCCACCACTCTATTTCTTATCCAGTACCAAGTAGTTTTGATGATTGCTGCTTTATAATACAATTTAAGATCTGGTATAGCTAGGCTATCTTCCCTTGCATTTCTTTTCATTAATTCCCTTGATATTCTGGACCTATTGTTCTTTTAGATGAATTTTGTTATTGTTTTTTCTAGCTCTATAAAATAATTTTTTGGTAGTTTGGTATGGCACTGAATAAGTAATTTAATTTAGGTAGAATTGTCATTTTTATATTAGCTCAACCTATCCATGACTAACTGATATTTTTCTAATTATTTAGATCTGACTTTATTTGTGTGAAAAGTGTTTTGTAATTGTGTTCATATAGTTCCTGGGTTTGTTTTGGCAGGTAAACTCCCAAATATTTTATGATGTCTACAGTAACTTTAAATGGAATTTCTTTTTCTATCTCTTGTTGTTGTGCTTTGTTAGTAATATATAGAAATACCGATGATTTTTGTGGACTTATTTTATAGCCTGCAACTTTGCTAAAGTGGTTTATTATTTCAAGTAGTTTTTTCCTTGATTCTCTACAATTCTGTAAGTCTATCATCATATCATCTGCAGAAGAGTGATATCTTTGTTTCTTCTTTGCCTATCCTAATACCTTCAATTTCTTTTTCTTCTTTTGTTGCTAAAGCTAACATTTCTATTACAGTATTGAATAATAGTGGTGATAATGGGCATCCTTGTTTCACCCCTGATCTTATACTTTTTTTTTTCTTTTTTTCTTTTCTTTTTAGGCGATTGGGGTTAAGTGACTTGCCCAGGGTCACACAGCTAGTAAGTGTCAAGTGGTTGGTACGAGGCTGGATTTGAACTCAGGTCCTCCTGACTTCAGGGCCGGTGCTCTATCCACTGTACCACCTAGCTGTCCGTATACTTTTATTTTTTAAAAATAATTTTATTATGACCTTAAAGTCTTCTAGTGCCTTACCCTGTTATACAAGTGAACCTGACGTCTAGAAGGCTGTGCCAGGGGAGCATAAGCTCAGGGAGGCCTTGAACATTTGATGCTTGGTAATATCTTGAAGAGATTGGAGGCTGTAAGTAACAGGCCAGTACTGAGTTCAAGGATAGGTAGTTATGTTTTATACCTGAGGAAGCAGAAATAGTTGAGTATCTTTCTCTGACCTGGCAATATGTTGTGTCTGTTGTGTTAGCACCAGTCTGGCAAAGGTATGGAGAGGCTCTTTCTCACCAGGTTGACCGTAGGTGATGATTTTTTTTTTTAAACCACAGTTAGTCATTAAGACTGTCTGCCAAGGCATACATGGAAGAATCTGGTATACATTAATGGAGGGACTACTCATACCTTCAAAATCATGGATTCTTAAAGTATAAATAGGAACTTAAACAAAAATACCCGATGTAAAACAGAGAAGTACAGAGAATGTGTGTTGCAGTGGGGGAGGTATGTAGAGAAAAGTCCAATTTGGCTGAATCACAGAGTGGGGCCTGGTTGTGGAAGGCTTTGAATAATAAGCAGAGGAGTTTGAACTTATTCAGTAGGCAATAGGAAGGTCCTGAAAATTTTTACTCTTTTTTTTTATCTCGGTGAACAGATATTTATTAGTGCCTTCTATGTGTTAGGTACTGTGCAGAGTGCTAGCATGGTACAAAGAAAGGCAAAAGACAGTCCCCGCTGTCAGGGAGGTTGTACATACACACATATGCATATGTGTGTATTATATATAGAGAGAGATAGATTGTACACACACACACACACACACAGGATAAATTGGAGATAATCTCAGAGGGAGGGTCCTAGTATTAAGAGGAATCAGGAAAGGCTTTTTGTAGGTGAGATTTTAGTTGGGGCTTGAAGGAAACCAGGGAGGCAAGGAGATGGAGATGAGGAGGGAGAGAATTTTAAAATGCTCACTTGGGAGATGGAGTGTCCTATGGGAAGAAGAATAGTGTCACTGGATCACAGAGTGGTGGGGGTAAGGTAGAAGATGACTGGAAAGATAGGAATTCACCAGATTATGAAGGGCTTTGAATGCCAAGCAAGATCTTATCTTTGATCCTGGAGGTAAGAAGGAGCCCCTGGGGTCTATCGAATAGGAGTCTTTATGGAGCATGGACAGGAGTGGGGAAGAGACTCCAAGACCACGAGACCAACCAGAACTCTTACAGTAATCTAGGCATGAGGTGATGAAGGCCTGCACCAGAGTGGTGAAACAGTCGCAGGAGAGCAGAGGGTCTGTACAAGAAATGCCACAAAGGTAGTGTGGACAGGACTTGGCAACTGATTGGATATGGGGAGGGACAAAGTAAGGAGTCAAGGATGACACCAAGAATGACACAAACATCTCCTGATCTTTGTCCATTCTCATTTACATAAGTGTCATTTAAAAAATATTACTGTTAATGTACTATATGCCCTTTTAAAGTGTATTTTCCACTGTACATTTGATTCCTACCTAAAGAGCAGTTAATACATGTAGACAAAATAACGAGAATTTAATCCAGACTAAAGCTTTGTAAGAGATTTTTTTTTTGATTGAGACAGGCAGGAGTGGGTGGGATTGGTGTTTTCCAACTGGAAACATTTAAGGAGCACTGACTGCTTTAGGGATATAGCTTACATGAGAGTGTCTTATTTTAAAATTACAAGGCTACATGACCTCTAGTACAGTCTTCACTTGATAGAGAATACAGCCATGTCATACCTTAGTAGTTGGCCTTTGACAGACTGAAAAAAATTCCTCACCTATTAGCCGACCTTCTGTTTCTATGTCACTTCACATTTAGTTAGATTGATCCTCTGAAGAGAGATCAATCACTAGGCCTATACTGTAAATCTTTCCAACTTGGTCAGAATTGCCAATACTTGTGTTCCGTCACCATAGCTTCTGAGAATTTGAGGATACCTATGTATCACAGTCAAGCATGAATGAAAGAACAACTTTACAGTACAGTTTGAAAAACAATCTGTCTCTTTTAAGCTACTTTAGGGGAAAAAGATTTTAATTGATATGTTTGGTTTATTACCTAGATTTCCCTCTGTACTCTAGCCTTCCCCCTCCCCACTTCTGGAAAACTCTGTTATAACAAAGAATTATTTTTAAATAAGAAAAAAAAGAAGGAAGAAAAAAATTCTGTAAAACTGATCAGTGAGTAGAAAAAAATATGCCATTAATGTTCAGTGTTTCACACCTATAGACCCCCTACTTCTGCAAAGAAATAGAAGAAGGTATTTTTTCATTTTTGGGTAGAAGCTTGTTCTTTGTAATTTTGTAGCATTCATTTT